GGTTGTCTATATTCCCATATTTAGGTACTCTGCCTGGTAACTTCCCCTGGGGAGTCTATTCTCCAGACAACCTAGAATAAGAGATCTCATGCTATGTGCTATATTTATGGCCGTGCTGTAACAGAAAACCAGGAAATAAACTCTCTAACCAGTTTGTTAGGTTAGAAAGCCGACATTATTCAGTCTCGAGGTACACGAGGATAGTTCCATAAAACATGTATATCAGTTATCAAATTTTTAACTATTTATACATTTTAGCAAACAAAGGAATCAGTGTCCATTGGGTTACAAGTTATGTAGTTCTCATTAATTAGCATTCTATCTTTTATTGGTTATTGATTTCTTGCTTTTCATGCAAATTAGTCCTCATTTTAGTAATTTTATTATCTTTTTCCCCAATAGAGAGAGTCTCAGTAATTGTAATTGTTAGTTTCTTCTTCATGTCTGGTTTCTGTAAGTGTCTTTGTGGTTTATAAATTCTGCATTCTTTGTGTACAGGTCTCAACAATAAATTTCTCTCAGGTCTAAGAGCACTGAAGCATGTCAGGCTCTAAACTTTTAGTTTGTTTTTTTAACACATGGACATCACCCAGAGCTTGCCCATCATCCATTATCTATTTCATGGATTTAATCTCCTCGAAACAATTTCCCACCCACTGCTGCATAGGTCCCTTTTTAAAGAAATATAACTTGTTCTGTAACAAATTCCCCCTTTGAGACTTCAATATCATTTTTTTAAAGTCTCATATTAATTTATTTTATCAACCTAGTCTACACATTCTGTTACATCCTAATTTGCAAATTTGGAATAAAACCCATAAGCCAACAATTAATATCAAAACTGCGATAAGTATTACAATCATTTTTCTTGCAATCACACTTAAATTTGGGATCCGTGATGTCATCCAATAAAACACATCTTCCACTTGACCTTTTTGTATTTCATGAAAGATTTTGCTGTTCTGTCTTATTTCTTCCAAATCAGTTTGAATTCTCAAAGTCTGATCCATGTATACACAGCAACTGGTGTTAAAGACTGTGCACACACCACCTTTGGAAGCCAAAAGCAGATCTAGAGTAATTCCATTTTTTTTGACTACTTTTGAAAGGCTGGTAATTTCTCTCTGCAAAGCACTGATTGCATAATTTGTTCAGTTTTCTAGTTGTTTGATAACTCCGGATATGTTCACTATAGCCTTCTCCAATTTAGGTACTCCTAACCATGGTAGGAGTCCTCTCACAAACATGTGGAATCCAGAGGACCTCTCAACTAATCGATTTAAAGTTCATTTGTGTCTTGTTATGAAAGATCACAGATGTCCTCTGGGGAATTCTGATTTATCAATGACATCTACTTTTGGTACTACAGCTCCAATGGTACATACTCCTTGCCATCCAAGGGGTATAGTTTTTCTAGTCTGGTTTCCACAAAGCCAGTAGTATCCCATATTATCTGGAATAGGCCACTATTGTGTATTTAAAATACTCCTTCCTATTACATCCAAATACAAATGACACTTGAGATAATCTTCTACTAACACTCCTTGCCTACAATTAGGTGACTCCATTTTCCAGTGAGGGGCTGCTCCTGGTCCTTTTAGGCATTGTTGAACACAAGATGTCTCAGTGACTATAACTAATACCAATGCGATTTGTTGGTCTATGGGGGGTTGGGTTGTTTCTCCCTCCAAAAGGTGCATCACCCCAGTTGGAGGAAGAGCATTGGAGAATACACTTGATGTTGGAAGTCCTATCATCTGAATACTTTCATCTGAATGAGTAGGAAACTGAGAACAAATCCAACAATTACTACTATTTGTTATCAGTGTTACGTCTTACATTAGTTTTAGATGTGAACTTTTCTTCCAAGAGTCAGGTAGTATTTGTCCTATTTGTGTCATGTTACAGTGGTCTTTAGGGAAAAGGACATTGCTCCCTTTCCCTAAAGCCCACTTACACCTTGGACACTTGAAGCCATACTTGCCATTACAATCATTAATTGCAAGGCCTTGCTAGGATGGTTGACTAATCCAGGAACAAATAACCATGTTGTAATACTGGAAATCTTGTTCTGTAAACACAAAAAGATAAACTATTTACCATCTTTCATTTTAAAGTCTCTGGTTCCATACAATATTTTGTATGGGCTCCCCTTTTCCTTGGATGTTGGTCTAATCCGTACCCTCAGTAAGGCCAAAGGAAGGGCATCTGGTCGTTTTAAATATGATTCCTGGTAAATCTTGCTAATTTGTCTTTTTATACTCTGATTCATTCTTTCTACTTTCCCCTTGACTGAGTTCTCCATGGAGTATGCAAGTCTCGTTTCACCCCTAATGTTTTAGCTGGGCTTTGCACTATTTCAGCAATGAAGTGTGAACCTCTGTCTGATGACATTCCCACTGGCATTTCAAACCTTGGGATAATTTCTTTCAACAAAATCTTTACCACCTCCCTAACTTTGTTGGTGCAACAAGGAAAAGCTTTTGGCCATGCTGAAAAAGTATCTACCAGTACCAATAAACACCTGTACCTGTTTTGTCATGGAAGCTCTGCAAAGTCTATTTGCCAATAGTCTCATGGCCAATTTCCTTTCTCAACAGTCCTGGGTGTAGGCCATCTAATTTGATGTGTATTGTTCTTTAAACAGGTTTGGCACTTTTGAACAATGCTTTTTATGATCCCAGTCATTCATACACTCAAAACTTGAGGCTTCAATGCTTCTACCATAAACTCTATTCCCCAGTTGATGCAATTTCAGTTTGCATCTGCTACCTGACAGGACATGTCATTTACAAGGTTTAGTAAATGTTGCTGAAATCTGACTGCCTCTGTCCTTCCTGTCCTCTTTGATACCCCTATAAACCACATCCTGCTTGTGGCTCTAGGTTTGCATGGATGAATAGTAGGGAAGCAACTGTTTCTCGTGCAGGATGTCTCAATCTTCAGAGGCTTTTTAGAAAATAAGATTTCTCTAGAGCAACTTCAAAGAAACTCTGATACTATACAATAATCTGTACTATCATCTACTAACAAAAACTGCTTCCTTCTATTTCAGTTTGGTTTTTTTTTCTTTTATCTGTGATGGAAGACATTCTTAAATGTTCAGAAAGATGTGTGATGTTTAAGACCTGTTGCAAAACTTGTCAGGATAGTCCTCTGGGGAAATCGTTCCTATATGACAAATATGTACAGAATAGTTAGATCCAGAAGTAAATATTCATTCTGAAAACATAGGACTTTTGAAAAGTGTAACTCAGATATGTTTACAAAATTAAACCCTTCCCAAAGGAGAAAAAACCTTTCATATAAGTTAATTCTCATCTGTAATTCATTTAATAGCTTAATTTATTAAACACAGTATGTAAAATCTACATTGTTGTTTCACTTTAAATGTTTACACACAGGATGATTTTTTTTTTTAAACCACAATATGACAAGAGCTTCCCATAGCCTACCTTCCTATGGGAGATACAAATATTAAATACTACAAGAATTCTTGACTCAATTAACTCTCTTTTCATTGCCTTCCCTTTATTTCCCTCCAGGCCTGGCAGAAACAAACAGGTTTGTATTACAAAAGTAATTTTTAAACAGTTCCAAGGGAAAGACTGTTGATATGAACTCCTGGAAATGGAAAGAACTCCTAGAGAGGTCTACAATTCTTCATTTGACAATTCATTTGTACGTGGAAGGTCAATCTTTTTTGGGTACTGACTTGCAAAAATAACTTGAATACCACCACCTACAAAGTGCTGATACACATGATGCATTTGAGGGAATTCAGGTACTTATAGGATTTCTATAAGTACTAGGTAGAGATATTGTGCAAATCCTCAAATGATGCAATTTCACCTCACTTTTCAGCTGCTGGCATTGTACAAAGGGAAAAATAGGTATTAGTTACTTTTTTTTAAGCATCAGAGCTACTTAAACTATCTGCAAACTGCAGTTAATGTACATGTAAGCCTGTCATGCATCAAAAGCCAAATTTTAACAATATGTGAAATGCATTTCTTTACATAGATCCCTGAATTTTGACAGCCTATCCATACGCAGATGTCAGATTGTACCTTTATTCTGATAGCATTATCACACCATAACACATACTGTATATCTATCTGCATTATTCTAAGATACAACTCTCCTCAGTACTTAAACATTACCCTTTATTATACATCAACCAATGTATTCTTTGTCCATTTTTTCCTCTTTTTTTTTTTTTTTTTTAATTACAGAGAAAATGTTATCTAACTGTTCATTATGGTATTGAAATAACATAAATTCCAGATATTTTACAAGGAGGATGGAATGTCCAGCTGTATGTTCACTCTAACAGCTCTTTCAGTTCCTGTTTGAAGGATATGGCACATGTTGTGAAATGCATTAGCCACCAAAAAAAAAAGCCTCAAAATACTTAAAAAATATACACACACTCCAAGTAATTTATATTGACAAATAAGGAATGTTGTTTGTTAAGTCTGTGCTTCAGAGAGAGAATGTTTAGGGTTAAGTAGCCTTCATCAAGGCACAGAATGGGAAGAGGTAAGCACAGCTGTCTGTAGAAGTTATATAAAACCACTAGTGAGGTACGCATGCAGCAACACTATTTAAAAGTGCACAACTGGTCTTTGTAACAAAACTAAACATAGTTAAAAGGAAATACTGTGACTTTTCATTTGCCACAGTTTTACTTCATTATTAAAAACACGGTAAATATTTCCAAACATAAATTTCACATTTCGAATAAATGAAATTTTAAACAAAGTGCTTTGCAGATCTGAACCCTGCACGGTTGTAATGTCTGGCCTAGAAGCATTTTGTAGACATCATAGGAGCATTTCACACAAAACTGAAAACATAATTCAGATGAATTATAAACAGGACATTTCTAACAGTTTTACATTTTCAAGTAGTTGAGTTCTTACGGTCACTGGGTTTTGTAACAAATGTGTCCTATAGCAGTACAGGTTCATAGATTCCTTTAGCAGCAGAGGCCCATTTCAAAGGGCACGTGGTCTTTTTGGGTTGATCTGTTTACTGGCCTGTTCCTCCTCTTGTAGAGCTGCCCGGAAAGATTTCACTTTATCTTTAATGAAAAAGAGAGAATGAGTACTGATGTGCCTGTGCTCAACACAGATCCTGAAACAAAGGTCTGATGCCCCACATACTGGTCCTTATGCAAAACAAAGAACATTCCTCCATAAAAATAGCTGAAGACACAAACTACAAGAGGACTGAGATAAGCTTAAATTTAATACTCATCATACAAACTAGTTGCTTAGCAACTTAGTCCCTTCTTAGATATTACCCCTATCTCTTCTTAGGAAGAAATTCTTCTCTGTGAGGGTGGTGGGGCACTGGAACAGGTTGTCCAGAGAAACTGTGGCTACCTCATCCCTGGAAGTGTTCAAGGCCAGGTTGGATGGGGCTTGGAGCAACCTGGTCTAGTGGAAGGTGTCCCTGTCTGTGGCAGGAGATTGGAATGAGATGATCTTTAAGGTCCCTTCCAACCCAAAACATTTTGTAATTCTATGATAACAACTTTTCTATGAATGTGAAAAGCATTTGTGATTAAATTTGGGAAGTAAATAGATAAATGCATTGATCATTTGTTTCATCATACCTAGCATGAGAATGGAAGAAACCTGAGAAAAGATGTCATTCTTTCATATTTATATTCCTCCCCACTCCCATTCTCCAGTAATATGCCCAAGAACGGGAAGAAGGAAACCAAAATGACAGCATAAAAAAGTCAGTCCTAAAGTGACAGGAATAAAAGCTGAAATATTCAGTGACCATTATGTGTCATAAGCATAACACAAAAGTTACTGTGAGAAAGAATCTTCGATTTAACAGTTCTTCCCTACTATAAAGCTATATATGTATCATGCTGTCTGTAAAGATGCAAGGATCTTTTAGATATCCTTTATCTCCAGTATCTTATTTCAAAAGCCATATCTAATAAGTTATGGAAGAACAGGGAGTCACCTAAACTATTTTTTTTCATTGCTGTTGTCTCAAATTGTTTTTCCCTGAAGAGGAAACCATCATCCCTAAGAAGCAAAGGAATGTACATCTAATTCTTTGCTAAAGTATACTGGTGCCAATACATGCGTACAAAGCAAGCAGATCACATCCAATTTGCTTGATGTCTTCTTACAGCAGATACTCAGTCTGAGTAAAATGTAAGGTGTTATCTTATAAGGAGTTTTCTAACAGATAAAAAACCCAAACCAGTATTGCATGTCTGCTGGAATGCAGAGAGATACAGAAACTAAAATTAAAAATTAATCTCCATGAGGTACCAAGCTGACATTGATTTTAGGAGATAAGTGGAAGAGTCAGTTTTGGGAACTAAGAATTATCTGCTGTTGGTTTTTCAACAAAGAGAGGTTGACAAAATTTCAACAGAAAGGTTGCTAAGGAAAAATAGGCTAACAGCCAAGCTAGTCAGAACTCAATGTTACTCTTAAGCACAGACTGAAAAAACAACAGCAGGCTCCCTGCTACATTACAGAATGCAATAGAACAGGAACTGGGAATTCCTACTACTTTTTTCCTCATTGCATTACCTTCTTTTTTTTTTTTTTTTTTTTTTCTGTACAGTTCTTTTGGATTTTTTTTTCCTTCTTTTATTCTTTTGGAACAAAGAAAAAAACAACCCAAAGTTGCAGGATCAAGTTTGTACTTCCTGGAGGTAAAGCAGACTTCCTATAAACTAGGATGGATTAAATACAGATGTGAACTTGTTCTTAGGCAGTAAAATAGTTCCTTTCACAGAACATTACAGGACAGCACAAGGTGAAAAAAGACCCCAAAACATAACCACACTATTTTTTCCTTCTCATTATTACTGCAAGTCTCCATGGCATATGAAAATGCACACAAAAGTGATTAAAAGCAATCTACCTCTAAGTTCGGTCAGAATATCAATTTTTTGCTCTAGAATTGCTTCAAGTTGGGTAGCATAAGAATCCACATCATAGTCTACTTCTTCTGTCATCTCAAGAAGAGTTTTTTCATCTTCCAGCCATCTAATAGATTCCTAGGTAAAAGTTAAAAAAACCTCAACTAAATACATTAGCAAAGTTTCAAGGCAAATTTCAAGACAAAGAGCTGAATTACTCCTTTTCTCAAGATGACCACACTTTTACTGTCTAGTCACCTCACTATAACAAGTTTCAATCCTAAAATGAATCCTTTTTCCTAATTCAGCAAAATTTTACGTTTTCTACATAGTTTCTTAACTCCAATGGTCATAACAGCAACAGATAAACCCCAGCTGTCACAGTTCTCTTCAAATTCAGAACTTAGATGGTTGTAAAACTAAGAGATTAAGAGCTTTATGTCATAGTTATGTATGCTTATGTAGGTATCAAACTTTGAACCCAGACTTCAATTTTAAGTATGGGATGGTTACCACTGACTATAATCACAGTGTCATTATTACAGTCAAGGAGCCAAAATAATTCTGTCCATACTCAAAACCAGTTTTGAGAGAAGGTGTATAAAAGAAGAGCATTTTTAATCTCTCTATTGCAAGAGGTAACTCCCCAGACAGATAAGAGTACTGTAAAAGACAGTTAAAAAACCTCTTAGGCATCTTTGCACTCTGAATATTACGCATTAAAAAAAAAAAAAGAGGGAAAAAAAAAAAAAAAAGGAAAAAGCCTTGCAGCAAAGAAGAATGCAACCAGGAACTTAAAGCTTACAGAATCATGCAAAGCTCTGATCAGGAGACCTGATCCCATTGTATTAAAAATAAAGTAAGCAGCTGACAGTTCCATGCATACTGAGCCTGAAATACTAAAATAAAGTCTTTCTCTCTGTGCTCAGTAGTCCAAGTAATATAGAAAGAATAGTCCAAACCCTGTGTAGGTTTTGTTGACTTTCAGGACAGACGGAGCTCTCACATTGGGGTAGGATTCATGTCATCTAACATAAACTTGTATATCCAAGAAACAAAGGAAGATCAAGACCTCTATAGTACAAATCATTCAGCTAATCTACTTTAGAGATTTTTTTTAGAATAGGATTTTTTATACCCCAGAATCAACAGCTTCCGGGAAAAAGTTGACAGAAGACAACTTCTGCATGTTACAGCTTGTAGATTTTGTATTGGTGCAGCCCATCTTCACCCATGACATAAACTAACAAGTAATGCTGCAAATGAAGGTAGCTGAGACTCAGACACATTTCCTTCTAATGACTGCTGTAAGGAGCAGTAATCTCCAGCATAAGGTTAGATGGATACACAGAAGCAGTAACATCTTAAACTCATGCAGTTTGTCTCTCCAGAAGTTGCAAGCATTAGGACACAGCGATGGCATATAGCATGACTTTCACACTTCTGCATGCTTTACTTCAGAGATAATGTTTCACAATAACTAAATCTCTACATCTGTTGTAAAATGTGTTATTTAGCATCCTATTGTATTACATGAACACACATCAATGTTCCACTAAGTTAGATACCTAAATTGAGATGTATTCCCTATAGGTTTAATATTTTGCTATTTTCTTGCAGCAGATGCTCCAAATGAACAGCCGGTCTAAAGATTATAAGGTTATTAACAGAAGCAATTCACATTTCCTTCTGAAAACTAGTAACTCATATATATGTTTTTACCATTTATTTTGTGAATGTAAAAGGCTCCATGGTACTGACCAGCATTACACTACATGGTCAGCACTCCTTTCAAAGACCCTGACTAATAGCAAGTGAAAACCTTATGTATCTGTAAAATGGAAGCAAACAAGCAGTTAGAAATATATTTGTTTCTTCTGGCTCTCAGTATCTCAGAGGAACATGTCATGAAAGGATATTTAGAGAAAATATTTGGAGATGGTATTGCTGTCTCTTAGAGGGAGATGACACCAGTGGGACAGGTGGCCCTCAGAACAACTGCCCTCTGGAGCTGGTAGACAGGGAGAGGAAGCCAAATAGCCCCTCTGTATTCCAGGAGGAATTATTCAGTGACTTACTGAGCCACCTGGACCCACACAAGTCCATGGGACCAGATGGGATCCATCCTAGAGTGATGAGGGAGCTGGCAGAAGAGCTTGCCAAGCAACTCTCCATCATTTACCAACAGTCTTGGCTCTCTGGGGAGGTCCCAGATGACTGGAAGTCGGCAGATGTCACGCTCATCTACAAAAAGGGTTGCAAGGAGGACCTGGTAAACTATAGGCCTTTCAGCCTGATCTCAGTGCCTGGCAAGGTTATGGAGCAGATCATCCTGAGTGCAATTACACAGCAGCTACAGGATGGACAAGGGATCAGACCCAGTCAGCATGGATTTAGGAGGGGCAGGTCCTGTCTGACCAACCTGCTCACCTTTTATGATCAGGTGACCCACCTGGTGGATAAGGGGAAGGCTGTGGATGTCGTCTATCTGGACTTCAGCAAAGCCTTTGACACTGTCTCCCATAATATACTCCTGGAAAAGCTGGCAGCCCACAGCTTGTACAGGTGCATTCTCTGCTGGGTTAAGAACTGGCTGGAGGGTCGGGCATAGAGAGTGATGGGGAACGGGGCTGCATCCAGCTGGCGGTCGGTCACTTGTGATGTCCCCCAGTGCTGGGTCCAGTCCTGTTTAACATCTTTATCGATGATTTAGATGAGGGGATTGAGTCCATCATTAGCAAATTTGCAGATGACACCAAGTTGGGAGGGAGTGTCGACCTGCTGGAAGGCAGGAGGGCTCTGCAGAGGGACCTGGACAGACTGAAGAGTTAGGCCGATTCCAATGGGATGAAGTTCAACAAGGCCAAGTGCCGGGTCCTGCACTTTGGCCACAACAACCCCCTGCAGCGCTACAGGCTGGGCACAGACTGGCTGGAGAGCAGTCAGGAGGAAAGGGATCTGGGGGTGCTGATTGACAGGAAGCTAAACATGAGCCAGCAGTGTGCCCAGGTGGCCAAGAAGGCCAATGGCCTGCATCAAGAACAGTCTGGCCAGCATGATGAGGGAAGAGATTCTTCCCCTGTACTCAGCACTGGTGAGGCCACACCTGGAGTATTGTGTTCAGTTCTGGGCCCCTCAGTTCAGGAAAGACGGGGTGCTGGAGCGGGTCTAGAGAAGAGCAATGAGGCTGGTGAAGGGACTTGAGCACAAGTCCTATGAGGAGAGTCTGAGGGAGCTGGGGTTGTTTAGTCTGGAGAAGAGGAGGCTCATGGGAGACCTCATCACTCTCTACAACTACCTAAGAGGAGGTTGTAACCAGGTGGGGGTTGGTCTCTTCTCCCAGGCAATCAGCAGTAGGGCAAGAGGGCACAGGCTTAAGCTCTGTCAGGGGTGGTTTAGGTTGGATATTAGAAAGAAGTTCTTTACAGAGTGATCAGGCATTGGAATGACCTGCCCAGAGAGGTGGTGGATTCACTGTCCCTGGAGGTTTTTAAGATGAGGCTGGATGTGGCACTGAGTGCCATGATCTAGTAATCACAGTGGGGTTGGATCAAGGGTTGGACTTGATGATCTCGGAGATCTCTTCCAACCCAGTTAATTCTGATTCTATGATTCTATGACCGCATAGAAATGGTGCTGATAGAGACATTACTATATGGACACATTACTAGTAATTGCTGGCTTTGGCATAGCAATACTGGCATAGATTAGACACTGAAATTGAAAATTTTGAGATCAATCTGAGTAAATTCCCCACAACTAGAAAAAACAGTCACTAATGCTGGAAAACAATTATCACAGAAAATATAGTAAATAGTTGAAATAGTAAAAAGAATATAACAACTTTTCTTACAGTGAACACAGTCTATTTAGGAGCATTTGCTGAGAAGAAAAGGAAAATTTTACTACATTTCAGGAGTGGTAGAAAAATAGGCTTCTCTTTCATCATAGGGACAAAGAACTATGGTTATGGGATCTAAACATCTGTTCCTATTTCTTTGCTACAATGAGCTTAGTGTAATAAAATAATTTAGAAATCTCTGACAGCAGCAAAATGACTAGATGATATCCTACATCTTCAAGAATATGCACTTTCAGTGGGAAAACCTGAATTCCTGGATTAGGATAAAACAAAGAAGAGCTCCATCTTTTACCTGGAAGATAGCCCTGTGATCTTCTACTACTTGCTCTTCCATTTCCACCATTTGGGACACAGCTTCATGGAAAGTAAACAACTGTGGAGAAACTTCCTCTTCCTAAAATCAATAGTTAAGCTTGTTAGTATGGAAAGAACTGTGGCTACAGGAAATATATTGAATATTATCCATCCCATCACAGAACATGAAAAGAAATATGCAGAAAGCAGAATCTGTCAAAAATAAAACAATACTTAGAACAAGAAAATCTCCAGAAATTAGTGGAGAGAGCAATAAATTTAAACTGTTCACAGAGTTAAATTTAATTATTATTCATTAGAAATTTCCAGTCACTAACATTAGTGGATACTGGAAAAAATAATATTCCCCATGGAAAAAAACCCAAATTAAGATAATGGGAGGAGGAAGTCACAAGGGAAGAATGTTAATTTCTAGTAGGTTTTAATAAGAAAACTTGTTTTCTGTCTGGGCTTTTTGTTGTGCCAATTTTCAAAAAAGAGAACAACAATTACATTCAATACATTTCAGGAAATCAAAATTAAATTAACCCTTTGGAAAAAAAAAGTGCAATAAATATAAAGTGAAAAATCTAAAAAGTATGTAGTGATTAATACATTAGAAGAATGCACAACATGGATTTACAAACTGGGACAAACAGGAATTCTTTAGACATAAATAGTTAATCACAATCAAAAGGGAAAGCACTAGGTAGGCTGCAAGACAATATGGTTCCTTATAATAGGCCTTTAAAATATTTTTAAAAACACATTGAAAAGTTTAATTGAATTTCACATGAACAACAAAAAAGTATGATATGAAAGGATATCTAGCTGGAAGGACTATCCAGTGGGAAGCTCTTGGAATCACTAGCATGTTCTTATAAAACAGATTCCTGGAAGAAGACAGTTACTAAAATAAGAAATAAGAAATACAGCAAACACCATGAAGAGGCATTTGAAAAGGTAGAGAGTCTTGAGAAAAATAGGGTAGTAAGGATTTATCTTTTCTACCTTTCATCAGCATTTTCACAAATGAAGTTGAACATTTAAGGAACCAGGACTAGAGCTGATAATCAGTATGGAGGGCAAAAATGCCCTTTAGAAAAAGTCTCTCAGTCCCAGATCTCCACTTATGCAACCCTGGGAGACATCCTGGGAACATGATGTGGCTTTCTCCCAAACATTTTTCTGGGGTTTCACTCCATGAAAATCAAGATGTGGGGAAGAAGAATGATGGGTAACCAGATTTCTAAACACGGAGAAGGGCAAACTCACTCAAAACAGGTGTTCCATGCAGGAAAAATAATGGTCAAAACTACGAGAGTGTTAAACAGATGCATTTCTCAGACTACTTCTAACTATTTAATAACTGATGTAGTTATACTGGAAAAACACACACTAAAAATGTGAGAACCTAGCGCAAACCCTGCCTAGATATTAAAAGCCCTAATCAGCAAGGAAGATAAAGAAAAGTAAAACATTCTCCTTTCACCATTCAAGAAACCTTTTTTGTGTGTGTATGGGAATGAACATAATACCATAAAATGAAAAGGCAAAGAGGCATGCTGTATCTACTTAATTATATTGCTAACAGGCTATAAATACACATTACTCTGGATTTGTTCTGCCACTGCATTTATCATCTCTTTCCATGTAATGCTGTAAACCACTCACATTTTGTTCACAAAGCAGTTTGAGATCATCTCTCTGAGGAGAGCTCCCCACACCCCACTGTTCCTCTAAGTCATCAATCTGATTGGGAGCATGGTGTATAATAGGACAGATTTCTCCTGAAGCACTAGGATCAACCATCAGCTCCTTCACCCTACATTCAGAAAATATTTAATTTGTAAATTAGTAACTTTCTGTGCAAAAGAGTAGTAACCAAAAATAAAGCTCATCTAGGCATAATTTTATTCATTTAATAAGGATGATGTCAGCTTCACAAATTTAATGTACTTTCAGTGACAAAAAAATGTTAGTCCAACTCCTTAAAATCACGGACTTTCAACTACTTACAGGTGGATTACAGTCCATCTTCTAGCAAGAGGCCTTTTCTGATTGAAATCTTACTACTCATTAACTATTAAGAGGGAAAAAATCTCCAAACCCTCAACATTAACTCCTTAACAACGAATAATATTTGAAAAAAAAGTTCATTCAGCATCCTATACTTGAACATAATTTTTTTTCTGTACACACAATTGTGCTTTAAAAAAAGTAGTAAATCAGTACCCTTCTAGTTGTTATAAGCAAATCCAGCAAGAATTCGGAAGAAAATAAGAATTTGCAACCAAGTATCCCAGAGAATGAATAGATCCTTTAATTAAAATGCTTTCAAAGGTGAAAATATCTTATTAAAATGTTAGGTTCTTGCATCATGAAAATAGTTTAAAAGATTGATAATGATTCTATCCAAAAAATGCCCATTTGAAAGAACATTTATGAAACAGACACGTCAAGGTCTGCAAGTATAATAAGTTTTAGAGCAAATTCTTCATTTTTAAGGGGAATTTTTTTTTCAAGTAGCACATATTTACTAGAATGGAAACTGAATTTCATTCATCTTCAGAATGATGAAAAGTTTTAAAAATATATACATATTAAAATTATTTTCTTTTTTTAAGTAGATATATTAAAATTATCCTAAACACAGATTTGTCAGATTTGGTCCACTAAATGTACAAAGGTGACATCACCTTTTTTTTTTTTTTTTTGTAATGTATGAAGGAAACTAGCAAGCCTGGATACAGTGTGGTTATTGTGAACAAAATAGTGGGAAGATGACTGCAGATCATGCAGAACCATGACCTGACAAACAAAATAAAAACAAAGTATGTGTGATTCAAGGCAAGGGGACTAATGAAAAGTTGGTCTGTAAAATTACATTGCCAAAAAGAAAACTCAAAAATAAAGATTCCATGAATAGAATGAAGTAGACCTGGTGATTGAAGGAGAAAAGTCATCATACTCATAGGAAGGAGAGAGATCAGAGCGACTGCCACTACCCTGTGAGAAGGGAATGTCTGAAGGACTAATTCCAAATTCCTTTACTCTGCAGCAGCAAATTAAAAGAAAATGTTTTCATAAACACAGTTAAAATGACAACTCTGTTTAGTATTCTTCTTTAATAGCTTAACAATAAATTATTTTTACATTAAAAAGTAAAACTGTTGACATATTTAAATCTTCTGCAGAGTTGCAGATCACCAACAAAATCGGTGCTGGTAATTTGCAGAAGAGTATAATAGCAATGCTTTCAGAAGAGTAATTACATATTTCAGTTTGTGCAGTTAATAATATTTGCTCTACATTCAGTATTTCATTAAACTGCTCCTTTTAACATATCAAACCACTACAGTGCTTTAAATTCTATGCTGCCCTGTCTTACACTGCGCACACAGTGGTGTTCAGCACCTAAAAGCTAATTGTACTATGAAAATTATATATTGCTAGAAAAAATTAAAATACTACACAAAACACATGAAGCAACTTTACAGTGATAGGCATAGAAAATTAATGCTACCCCAGCAAAAAACAGCACAACTCCATAACAACATACAAATTTAACACCAAGGGAAAGAAACTTTCAGCACAACAATTTAGTATACTAGAAGTAGGTATTTGTTTTTCAGTGCCTATTTCTGGAGTAACTGCAGCAACATGTATTCTATAAGGGATAGAAAGATCCAACGAGTCCCGAATAATGTGACATGTCCTTTGTTATGTTACTGTAAGCAGGGAAGTAGATGCCTACCTTCTCACCAGGAAGGAAATCACCTAGAGTGGCCCAAGTCAAGTAGATTTGCAGCTAACTTGATACAAACAGAAAGACATTTGGATACTGAGAAGAGTGGGTGGTAAGCTACCCTAGCAGCCCTTTGTGCCCAATTAGCGACTGGTTGTGGGAGGGGGGAGGAAGGAAAGCAGGAGAAGATGTTCTGCCCTATCTTTCACTGGGGCAAGTAGACCACTAGGTAGTAGCCTCTTTTGTTCTTGCAGCAAAGTGGTAGGTGGGTTTCTGGGCCACAGGTCACTCAGAAAGCAGTACAGGTCTCAGAGGTGCTGCATCAGCCTCTGGAGGCACTAACTTCTCCACTGATTATGTCACTGTTGGATTAACTGGCTCTGTATTTAGGGGTCTCAGATATTTGCCTGAAGTTAGGAAATATAGAATTTAGGCCACAGCAATTGCAGAATTTTCATAAGAATAAGCTAGTTTAGATAAATCTATATATGATATAATATGATATGATATATCATATATATAAAAGAAACAGGCTGGCAACTGAATGCAATTCCACCAAGGGCATGAAAAATCACATTGCAGAAAGGTATTTCAGCTAACACCCAAGGGAATCATCATGTAAACTGCCTACCCCTAATACAAGAGGTGATACCTCCAGAGCAGGGACAAAACTAGGAGGCATCTCCCAGATTCCTTGCAGTCCACACTATATCTATCTCTGGATAATGGCTTGAATGCAGTTTCTATTGATTCTCTTCTAATGGTTGTAAAAAGTGACAAATTAAATTAAACATGAGCCTGAATCAGTAATCAGTACTTTGGGTTTAATCTTATTAAGAAATACAAGTATGCTAAAATTATTCAAGTAGTTAAAATAATTATACATCATGGAACAACAATATTCCACATATCAGTGATCAACAGCCAACATATCTATAAGCAATAACATTTTCCATACCTATTTGCGTATCTCAATGTATTTAGAGTGTTTTCACATGATGCCATCCCTGGAGAAATTGTAGCGATCTGGAGAAAATAAGCTATGCATTAATAAATCACTTTGTACAGATGAAAGGATAGATGATCTCAAATTATTTTTTTTAATCTCCACTTTTGAGATGTTCTACAAAAACTGTCTACTATGTACAACTGTCCTAATACAATGGCATCTCAAGAAGAGAGATGTCAAGTCAAAGCTTCAATTTAATTTTTTCAACCATACCTGAAATATTAGGAATTCATAGAAATTTCAGTCAATTTTCCCCATCTCACAGTCTTTGTAAATAATATGTAAATGCAAAACTCTAATTAAAAAAAAGACTTCTCAGGGAGGGAAATATGCAACTCGGTAGAAAGTAAGTCTAATATATCCTGCAAACAATTACTGATTATTTATATATATATATATATATATATATATATATCTCATTGTGGTCTGTTCAAGCAAACTGTATACTTATTTGAGAGACCTATTTTGGTCACAGTCTTAAGCTGTACATAATAATATTAAAGATAAGCAAGTGTTTATTTCCCTAAGTAAAGATTTATAATATTTGTCTGAACTGTTATCTGTAAATAATACTTAATAGCTTACTTATTATCAAACATGAGGAAACTATAAGTCTTTCCTTTTCCAGTTAAATAAAATACCCTGAAGATCTCACCTTCTTTTCAGCACTCAGTAAAAATAATAACTGTGATCAGGCAACAGTGACATCATTAATTGCACTAGTTTCTCTCAGTAGTTTAATTTTCTCCTTTCAGGAGAGCTATGAAGACTTTCCTTTACCCAGGACAAACACCTCTATTGTGATAGAAGGGTTAACTTTGTTCATAAAATCTTATGTGTATGAGGGAATAAGAAACTTTTGTTATAATTCAACAAGATAAGTTTCATAGACATCTTACTAATCAAGCAAGTGTCAGAAAAATAATTGCAGACATCTTGCTAAAAAAACAAGTATCAGAATTGGTAAAATTTACAGCTGATAAGAACTGCACCTTTCATCTCTGACAAATGCCAGATGACCATTTAACAACGAGTCACAAACTCAAACCACAAGCAGATTTACATCCGAAACCCGGGACTGGAAAAAATATAAAAGGAACATTTACTACATTTTCAGTGTGTGCCTCGGCGTGGCACCTGCCCCCAGGCCACCCAGCGTTGTTTTGCTTTATTATCGCTTGCTTAATAAATTTATCAATGTTTAATTGGAATTAAGTTGTCTAAATTCTTATACTAACTTATAACATCTATGATCCTACACACTATTTTTTTTTGGCAGCAGAGCATCAGGAGACTGAAACTGATTGACTATTAGATAATCCCTGTCTTCTCATTTATACTGCTGCTGACATTACTGTATGTCATAGTTCTGATTTTAGAAAGGAATTTTGTCTTTCCTTTCCCCTTCCCCCCCC